CCCATATTAATCACAAAGAAAACCGCACGTCCTCATACTGGAGTTCACCAAACGGGCGCAATCACAACATTGATTCGCTTATTCAAAGTTTCAGGACACTCACCTGGACAATATTTATTACAAGGTTTCGGCCCTTTAGTATCTGTCTATATTTCTACGATGAGGTATTACGTACACTATTTATATTATTCGGGCTATTGTGCTCATCTTCGTCGCCATATTTATTACAAAGTTTCGGCCTTTCTGTATCTGTCTATATTTCTAAGATGAGGTATTATGTACCCTATGTTCATTATTTGGACTATTGACCTCATATTTGTCGCCATATTTATTACAACGTTTCTGCTGTTGTACGCTCCAGCCTCCTTCAGGTGGTTGGAATATCGAACTGAACACTTTATTTCGCTCACTGGGGTAGACTGTTCTAGTTTGACGTGATTAAAGACGTTGATTAGACCATACACTGATGTCCTCAATGACACATGACACTGTGGATAAAGGCGTTGGTTAGATACAGTGACAGAACCCAAAGAGTGTGAGTTCAATACCTGGTTAAGGCGGTGGAGAATTGGAGAAGGGAGATAACTGATTACTGACATCCATTAGACATTGCATGTTGATGTTACCTTGTCCCTCGTCTAGGAAGTTAATGTGGCAGAACCTAAAAAGCAGCAGGTGATTTGAATTCAGAGTTTTTCTTTCTCTTAGTCTCGTTGTTTTCTAAGGCTATAGGGATCAATCTGTCCGGCAATTTACCCACATCTATATGGAGGGGAGAATTGTATTTATGCCTTTCCCAAAGATATTAATACGTAAGTGAATGCAATGAACTCGGCCAGAATTCGAAACCGGCTTCCCAAATCATCAATCCAGGCCGCTATCTATTATTCCACAATGCCTCCTCAAAAAGAAAAAGCATACTTCATAAAAGAATGTGGAGGAAATGAGAATCATCCAACTTTGTGGAAGTGTCAGGCTAGTCTTAACTGTAAAGGAGGAACTACAAGATGGCACTCATATGAACATTTGCCGTAGAAGTAGTGAGAGAGTAGAGACCTACTTGCAACTTTGCGTTTGTGGGAAAAGAGGTTTTAGAGTGGAAAACAACTCATCAGTAACAAGGCCTTGAAATTATATTAGTTCAGTAGAAGACCCCAACGGTAATAGAAATTCTAATGTAACCGCTTCCATACAGGAAACATTCGGCTTTCATTGATTTAACAGTTAGTGTTACTATCTGTTGAAATTTACAGAATCTTTTCATCGAAACAAAGTTTCAAAAAATTTGACTAAAGTCCAATATCAAGTCAATATTAAACTCAAATCCGATAAATGTTGTAGCTCTTTCTAAAATTGATGAGAGTTTCCTTCCAAACTCTTTGTATTTGATAGTGTGGAAAGTAAACAGTTTGATTATATTCCTTTCTAGTTACATTTGCTCCCCGTTTTTGGTGTTGCTGTTGTAAGTGATGTGTCTTTTGTTATTTGATAAAACTCTTTGATTTCTGTAGCGGATCTGATGAGGAATGATGTTCTTGAAGATTTTTTAGGAGTAATTCGTTTAAAACTATTTTAAACAATTGATCTGAGGGAAATTTCTTATACATCTGATGGTTTAGACACTTCTGAATGAGGTGGATACCACTGAAGACATACAAATTAAAAATGTGAAGATTTCAGTAGCAGAACCCAATAATGCTTTATTATATATTATTTTTATGCGATTGCTACCTGTTGCGTGGGTTAGCTAAATTGCTGGGTTTTGCTTGACTGATCATCTCGGCTGTCTTATTAGGCAACTTCTTTCGGGTTCAAGAGCAACGGAACAGAAATGATAATCAACAAAATATGCACCTTATGAAAGTACAGACACGGAACAGAATGCCGAACACAATAAGTTATAGTCATTTAGGCAGAGTCACGAATTTTTATCACGATGTGGCATATACTCTATGAGAAGAGTTGCCATTCTCAAACACATAGAAGGAAAACTCTGAATTCGAACGGAGCAGTACTATAACACAGCCGGACCGGCTCGATCCTGGGTCCTTCCTACGCTGGTCAGTACTGACGCCGGTCAGCTGATGATTATCTGTTGATCGGTTCGTTCCTTTATTTGCTCTGCCCACGTTGTGTTTTTTGATCACAATACAGCGAAGATCGAATTTTCGTCTTTACTAAAGCGCCGAATAGAGTTGTTGCGGAAGCGTTGTACGAAAAGGACAAAGAACACTTCCACTGGTAAAAAATACAATTATCATAGCAAATAAAGAAAAAAGCTCGCTGGGTCAATTTTCAGTTGGTTTATATAGTCGTTGACACTGTATGACTTGCTTCTAAAACTTGTAGCGGGTTAAACATACATAAGTAATTAGGTCGTGAATTCTGTTGTCACGTGGGGTTCAGCAGCTCCTCTTAATGCTGCTGTTACATTTCGTCTGCTTCCTTCGCTCCAACTGCTGGCTTCAAATAAGCGTTCGGTTTATATGTATTTCGCCCGTTCCCTACCGCATCTCAAAACGCATTAATTATTCATGAATTAATTATTTTCTCCAACCCTAGAGACATGACATCGGCCCTCAAACAAAGCGGCCAGCGATTTCAAAACAATAGACTTTGCCTCCACATTCCTTTTTTTTTTCTTAATCGGTCATGTGATAATTGAATATTTCCCGTTAACAAATTTTTGTGTTTAAAAATTTATTTAAAATCGGCAAAGAATTCTCTTTGTTTGTCGAATTTCAATGAATTATCTTTGTTTGTCGATTTTCCATACGACCCAAATAGTTTCCAGTCTAGTTGCATATTTACAAAAAAACTGGGTTTCGCTAAATTCGCTTCTCCGCCGTCAATATCCTTCAAATACCAAAACAATCAACTATTCAAAACAATGAACTTTTTGCGCTTCGAATTTTATTTCAAATGGCAAGAATTTTTCTTGCTTGTTTTAGTTTATATTTTCATCAAACCATATTTTGGACACAACATTCCATTCGGCGTTTCTACTTATCAGAATGGGTAAAAAAATCAACATTTTTTCCTTTCTCCATATATCAATTCATGTTTTCCTCTTAACGTTTTCAATGCTTCCAATTCTCCAATTTTATATGGAGTTTGCGCATGAACCATTTTAATTCTAATTTCATACTACCAGTGTCACAACAGTGTCACAGGAGTACTGACATCGATGACATAGTGGCGATTTTTCGAAGATAGACTCTGAATTCGATACAATTGGCCGTAGTGACATCGAGTGCTGAATAACGGTTTTTCAGAGGAAGACAATTCGCCGTACTGGTATAATTTGCTGAATGGTGACTCTTCAAAAAGAATAATCTAAATTCAAAACAACTGCGAATTCAGAGTTTTCATTCCCCTAGAACAGCTGCCACACAGTATAGAGAACTCACTATTTCCTCGTTATTTAACTCCCAGTTGTTGGAGGGAAGACATGGATTCATGCCTTTTTCAAAATTATAATACAAAGTGAAGGCAACAGAGGCTGTCACATTTTGAACTCAGCCGTTCGATACCACTTCGCCTGCCTACATCCATTAAGCAACCCTGAAATATATTCAGGATATAAAACGAAACGCTTGGTTAAAAACAAGAAGTGATATGTAAATAATGTATGAATGGCAAAGTTAACGGATGTGCATCGGTCATCGGCCAACTAAAAACAACTGCTCGTAGCTCTCTACTGACTCTGGGATAGATGCCCAAATAAACAGCTCTTTTACTAGACATAAATGGTCTTGCAATAACCTGATGGACACAGTTGAGTTGATTTCACTGCTGGCCAATCCTTAGCAGCGACAGCGACCAGATCCTGTTAACCTACCAACCAGAGACTCGACTAATTTCTCTTCTATCCAATCAGAATTTCAGAGTCTAGCTTATCCTTTTACATTTTATTAAGAAGCCCTAACGATGGATATAGTTGCCATTTTTCTTTTACTTCTGGGTTAGTTAATAATTGGAATGGCCCATATATTTTCCCAATCATCCCTGTGAAAAACACTATACCAGAATACTATTGGGTTCATGCCTTTCAATGAGTATAGGCTGGCGCGACATGGAGTTGATTTAGATATGACGTGTTCATGTGAAGCCTATGTTTTTAATCTCATTCAGTAATAGATTGTCACTAACAATGGAGGGGTTATTATGAATGAGGTGTGTGATATGAATAATGAACGAAGTAATAGGGAGGGGGAGATGATGAGGATAGGTAGTATAGATAACTATTGATTCTTAACTTGAAAATGTATGAAGATTGTTGTGTTCAAGGAAGCGGAAGATGTGCAACAAATATAAGTTTTTAGGAAAACGCTGAGATTAATTTTCTGAAAATATGGGGGAAATGAAGGAGATTCGACTCTGTGGATGTAGCTTGGCATATTCCAGCTGTAAAGTTATGATTTAATTGGAGTAAACTTGTAGCAGTTAATGTGAATATTTATCACTTTTATTTTTCGTAGTTGCTGGGTGGTATAAATCTTCGGCAGAAATATGACAAATGTGGCATAAAATGCAGACGAAAAGCGAGACGTTTAAATAACGCACTAAAGTAACTGAATATTTTCGTGGTGTAAAAGAAAAAAATGGAAAAAGTTTTCTTTTTTATTAACCTTTTTTTTTCTTTGTAATCAAGCGTTTGGATTCCTTGGGAAATCATCGAATTCCGTTTAATAGTAAGCTAACTTGAAATATTACTTTTAATAAAACGATGAATACTTTGAATTATTAACATTCACATGTCTGAAGTTCTTGATGTCGTCACATTTTGACATTCATGCCACTTAGTAAAATATGTATGTCTTTCGTAAGAAATACACTTAACAACTTAACAAAGATATATCTTCTTCGTATGGTTTTTGCCTGAAAGCGTCTCGTCTTTTGAATTAAAGCAATTCAGTGAAAAAAAAAATATTTCTAAACATTTTCAGTTAGATTTATTTTATCTTTTGTACTAAAAACATAAAATAAAATATTGTAACAGAGATAGTGCGAAATCAACGGTATCTGAGTTCGACAGCGGTTTTTTTTTTAAATATTTCGTAAACGAAGCAGAAGAAAAGAAGAAAAGAAAGAAGAGAAAGACGAAGAAAAAGAACAAAAATAAGTAGAAAACTATGCTATAGCAAATGGTTTCCAGGGTGTTTCCAAACATATATACACACACGCTGTTAGTAATTCTCACCTGAAGTTTAATTAAAAACATCCAAATAAAGATTTAACGTTACAATAAATATTAACATATTAAGCCCAGGTAACTCGGTGACAGTTCAAACTAATTTTTAAAAAATATTTTTAGAAAAATCAGATTTCATTGAAAACTGACAAAATTTTTTTATTGATTAAATGTCTCAGTAAGTTTAAGTAGTTTCTTACTCGCAGTAAAACATATTTATTTAAGCGTTTCAAATACAGAGAATAGAAATCAGTACTAAATTAATAATAAAGAGCTAAAAACGGTATTTTAAATTGACAGGATGACACGGGATCAAAGTACTTGTACGGTAGACACTACCATTTTATTAACCTGCGAGTGCTTGGTATTTTCCTAATAGATGAAGATGAGAATGGAAACAAAAGAAGTGTAGCTCTACAGAATGATAATGAGAATTCCATAGATGGAACATATGCGCAACGAGGAAGTTAATTAGAAAAAAATGACAATTCTACATAGAAACAGAAATAGATAACATTTCTTGGTCATATTATGAGGAAATGTGGCTTTGAAAATTTGATACTCACAGGTCATACTGAAGGTAAGATGTGTAGAGGGAAACGTTCAGTGATTCGTTTTCTCCGACTTATCAACCCTTTGCAGGTTATTTAAATCCAGGATATATATATATATATATATATATATATATATATATATATATATAAAAGTGAACATTGATGTCAACACTTAAAGGCGACAGGCTGTTTCATACTAGACGCAATCGTCAGGCATGAAACAACCTGTCGCCTCTAAGTGTTGATTTCAATGTTCACTTTTATATTTACATACGCTCTATCTCTGATATTGAGCACTTTATCCCATAAATATAGCACACCTCAAGAGTATGTTTCTTCATATATATATATATATATATATATATATATATATATTAAAGATATTTTTGTAGGTACAAAATTTAATGATCGAAATAAAAGTATAAAATTTAATATTACAAGACATATTAAACAATATTAAATAATAAAAAAAAAACACAACAACGGGGGGGGGGGAAGCAACCGGTTTCGCTCCCGCTCTTCAGGCTTCCACGGGAGATTCAAAATTAAAACAGAAAAATGTACAATAAGAATAGGTGGAAAATATATATATATATATATATATATATATATATATATATATATATATATATATATATATATATATGCAAGAAGGAACTAGAGGCAGATGACATGAGTCCCAGCAAACACTTAGGTTGTTTGCACAAAGAAGGCTTGCGGGACCCGATGTAAAGTGCCTCCAGAACCTTCAGATGAAATACAGAGTGTGACCGGGCCAACACGGTGAACCAGTCAACACTAAATTTTGCTGCACAATCTCTGCTATTTAAAAGATGTTCGCATATGGCGGAACTGTAGGTGTTCGGGACGAGTCCATTCAAAGGCAGGATGTGGTTTCTAATTTTAGTATATATATATATAAAAAATGATTCAGTAAAATACATTAAATCAATAGCTTCATCATCCACAAGGAAAGTTGGTTCTCTGTGTCGTGCCAGAAAGTTTTTTCTCGTCTGAGTTCATCCTTCAAATCTGTAAATCAACCAATCGCCCTTGCATGGAATACTTCTGCCATATATGGTTTGGTTCCCCGCGCCGTAAGTCTTGAGGTCCTCGACAAAATCCAGAGACGGATATGCAATGTGATAGGTCCTGATCTGGCATCTCGTCTACAGTGATTTTCTCACATACGTGCCGTGGCTTCCGTCTGTTTCTTCTACAAGTATTTTCATGGCAACTGCTCCGACGAGCTACTTTCGCTGTTTCCCAGATTGCATCTCGGTACCCCCCCCCTTTTCATTGTTGAAACGGTTAAATGCAACCGCCTCTACTACACCAACAGCTTCTTATCTCGATTTTCCCGTCTGTGGAACTACCTTGCTTCCCTGATAGCTATAGTCATCAAATATTCAAATGTAATGTCAATCGACATCATCTGTTGCTATGATCTTGTTCCCCGTCCTTCCCAGCATCCTTTCCTCAAACACGCCTCTTTACTCTTGCTCTCAATCTTCTGTAACCCCCTTCCGTACTAGTGAAACTCCCGCTTTACTTGAGGACTTAAAAAAAATAGGCCCTACTAATTATCCCTTAGTTGGTGTTAGAAGAGATGGACTCATACCCTTTCCTAAGTGTATTTGCGTGGAAGTGAATATAACGAACCCAACTGGAATTGGAACTCGGCTCTCCGATTAACAATTACGAGTCGTTATCCATAATAACACCCGCACATCCAAGCTTACAGCATTTGGTATTCCCAAGCGGTCACCCATCTAGGTAGTGACCAGGCTCGACGTTGCTTAACCTCCGTAATAGTACGGGTGCGGCTGTTGTAATGTAACGTCGGCGAAATCTGTAGATGTTAATATGAGCAACGAAGACGTTTTAAATAAAACAGGAACAAAAAGGACTAACAATTAATAATTTCTGAGAAACATAATGAGGAAAGAGAGTTTGGCCCTCACAGGTCATGGCTGAAGGTAAGAGACGTAGAGGAAAACAGCGAGTAACCTACGTGGCCGTCTTTTTGAAATTAGATAGTAGAACAGGCACTCGGAGGAGATTGTTACTGTAAACGTAAACATTGCTTGGAGCTACAAACGTTTGCGTCAGGAGGCTGTAAAGGGCTGAAAACATGGTACATAAAAGAAGATGCATCGTTGCATTAAAAAAAAATCAACCAAACAGAATAGAAATTTAAGAAAAGGGACATTCTAGACAGGTTTCGCTCTCGGGGAATTCTTATTTTTTGTGGCATAGGAAAAAAGCAACACTTTTAATATCCCCACTTAAACTGATTATATAAATCAACCTTCACTAGATGCATTTGGGTTTCTGCAGAACATGGGACCATCGGGAACTGTCGTTTGAAGTATCATTTTGTTTCAGTCTGTGTATCAAAAAAAAAAAAAAAAAAACACGCGTAAAAGATTTTCAAAGTTTTTCTTAATCGTCAGCAGAACACATTAAGATAACTAATTGAAAGTGCTCGAGGGTCTGTATATCAAATCTAAGCAACGTTCTCTCTGTAATCAGAAGGAAATTGCTTAGTATTAATGTAATCTATCTGTGACTCATAGTGTTGATTCTCTGGTAATATCTTTCTCTTTCACCCACCCTGATTTTTAGACTATGTGCACTTTTATGTTTAGTCTTCGAATAAGCTCTGAAGAGTGAGGAGTTATAACTGGTTAGCAGCTAGTATTTTTGTTTTCAGATATTTTCACTTTCAAAATTATATCGAAATCCATTCGTAAATATGTTCTGTCTCCGTCATTATCACATTAACTCGGTGGTTTACACTATTTATATTATTCGGACTACTGTCCTCATCTTTGTCGCCATATTTATTACAACGTTTCACTGGGGTAGACTGCTCTAGTTCCACATGCCATGTTTAATGCATGTCACTTATCAGTTATTTCCTGTTAATTCACCTCCCCATGTTCTCCAGCACCTTAGCCAGGTATTGAACTCATACTCTTTGGGTCCTGTCACTGGATCTAACTAACGCCTTTATCCATTGTGCCATGTGTTCTCGAGGTTAAGGTGGTGGGGAACTTGGAGAGGGGAATTAATGGGTGATAACTGATAGCTGACATCCATTAAATATGGCACGTGGAACTAGAACAGTCTATCCCAGAGAGCTAAATAAAAGGTTCAGTTCGACATTCCAACCATCTGAAGAAGGCCGGAGCGTACAACGGCCGAAATGAGTACAAAGATGAGTACAATAGTCCGAATAATGTAAATAGTATGCATCATACCTCATCTCAGAAATATAAACAAATCGGAGATTTATACTTTTAAAAGTCAGGACGATTGTAAATATGTTGGCAAAACTAATCAGAGGTTATATATCCGTATTGCCTAGGATGTACCAGCTGTATCCGTAATGGACAGTATGACAATTTGCATTTGTATTATTTGTATACATTCGGTTCTGCAATTGCAGAACACATAATAGATAATCCGAATTGCATCTCGTAGATTTTTATTACAGTAGCTGGCAGAGCAAATTCAGATTTACTATTTGAAAGTACTTCAGACCCTTTATATTGTCCAGGAAAACTTATGGTTGATTGGTTTTAATGTAATCAGTCAGTTACTCATAGTGATGACTCTTCGGTAGTATTTTCCCTCTTATTTTAGTAGTTGTGCATATATTTATATGTTTTGTCCTCGATCGAGCTCTGAAGAGCGAGTGGTGATAACCAGTTAGCTTTGTTACTCCTTTTTCTTATATTTTTCGATTCACCATTTTATGGAGAACAATATTTTTTCTCTTTCTTGCTCTTCCACCGCTTTGTTTTAATGTATTTGCTTATATTACGCGAATATATACTTTTTAAAATGTCCGCTTTGAAATCCATAATAAGTGAGGCTCCGTGATGAAATAAATATCTCTCTGGTCGGTATATATTCCTTACTCGGAGCTGTGAAGCTTTATTTCAAATTTTACAAATGACACGAAAGAAAGAAATGCCAAATGTCAAAAACTACAAGTTAATTTAAATCATTCATGCAAACATTCAACCGTTTTCTTTATTTTATAAATGTTCTTAATTTTGAAAGTATTTAATTAACTTTCATGGAAGAACTATAGTCAATTCTAACAAACAGAGCGTGTATCAATTTGTTACCTTCCAGCATTGAAAATGTACAACTTCAGATTTATACATTACTGTAACTGAAAAAAAGCACAGAAATCGTTAATTAGACCTTTTACAGGGTGCTTCACAAGTGTTGAAACAAAGCAGCCTCTCATATCTTCCCTGTTGACTTTATTCTCTTTCTCTGTTCAGATTTTGGCTGGGGAAATAGTTGAAATTTCAACCAAATATAGTGAAATCGTGCCTTGGGCGATGACGCAAAAGATCCTCTAT